TTTCTGTAAATGGATGTGTTTGAAAAACCGTGGTTTTCTGGAAATCCTACTTTCGACACTTTTAAAATTATTTCAAGTTAGCCATCGAAAAGAACATCGTTCAAAACTCTTAAGTACTGAGATTTAATAAAATTCGTCCGGTCCTTCATACTGTAAAAATTGAAAACTTTCTTGTGTTACGTGCCTATTCAATCAAGTTTATTAACGATGCTGTTAACGGAACTTGCACATTCCGTTGCATTTCTGAGTAATATAGGGATTCCCTATATTAGTCAGAAATGCATAACAAGTTCCCTATAGGAAACTTGTTATGTATATTCATCTACTTAATCTTGTCCAAACGAAATTAATACATAATTATCAAGAAGACAGAGAAAATCTTTGAAAATAAATCTATCTATTTCTCCAGAAAGATGTTGGAATAATTAAGTAATTAATAGCAAAGACTCTTATACCCGGGTACATTCGACCTTTCGAATACTGCCATCTTTGGCAGATTCATCTTTCATACGAGATATTAACTTAGTCGCATCGGTTTGATGAAAACAAAGTAGCGAAAAAGTGAAGGAGCTTCCTCACTTCGAAATGTGTGCGCTTACTTTAGCGGGTTTTCCCCTTTACTAGATCATAAAATTTTCTACATATAAATTCTCACATGTCCGGCTTAATCACCTCAAACTTCGTTAATCTGATATTTCAATTTTTGTATTCTGACTCTAGTATTTCACGAATTTCAAATACTAATTTTCACTTTCGATAAGCATTTTTAATTTCTTTCTTAGATAACGAATAGAAAGCTTCTGAAAGTAGTAAGGGTATATCAGTTACAGTTAATGGATGTCGATTTCGAATAAATTCTTTAAATGAGTGCCACAGTGGATTATCCAATGGTGACAGATATTTTGCGGATGACGCTGCGACATATGAAGAATTTGTTTAACTGATTCACATTTACCAGCTCGTAATGTTTGAATCATAGCCTCATTGGCCACTGTAGCATTCATTTAAAGAATTTATTCGAAATCGACATCCATTAACTGTAACTGATATACCCTTACTACTTTTTAGAAGCTTTCTATTCGTTATCTAAGAAAGAAATTAAAAATGCTTATCGAAAGTGTGGCTTGATATATGGAACTGACGAATATTATGATCGATCTTAGCATTGTTTTTAAAAATTCTTTCATTATAATCTAGATGTCGATGTACATTGTAGTAAAAAAAAGGGTACTTTTCTTCTAATGTATTTTTGTACCTCAAACTGTATTTGATGTTCAATCTAATTAGACCAAAAGATGCAGCGTCGTTCGGGCTTTCTCGCTATATATAGTAGATTAAAGAACAAAAGAATTATAGTAACAAAAACAAAAAAAAACAGTGGGGGGGATTTCAATTGGCCCTCACAGTACTAAGAGTAAACTATGACGAACGCTGAGCAATAATAACCTATGAGAAGTTAAATAGTGAAAAAACTATTTAATAATAAAAGGTCCTACGAACAAGTTTCTAATGTTTGCCTTTTTTTCTTCTCTTGATCCAAGTCAGATTGAGGCTGGACATTGCCTCTATCAGCTTTCGTTCCTTGATTCATTCCTCAACTTCTTCATCTGTCTTCGCCTCGAAAAGCTGGTTTCCACAATTTGCCATGATTATTTTTTTTCTAAATATAATTTGTTGTCTTTTCAATGCCCCGTTCATAGGCAAATACTCTAATACCAATGGATAATGAATGCTACAATATCTAAAATGAAAAATAAAAGAAGCTAATTTTTTTCAATTTCTGAGTGTATTGACAGCGATAGTATTTAATTATATATTATTCGCACGCCGAAAAAATATATTGTATATGGTTTTTTTTAATGTTCGACATGTTTTATGTTGTGTGAAAGTTAATGTTCACACGAAATCTACAAAGGCATATATTCAGTTTTTAGCAAAATGTTTGAAATAAATTGTAGATATATTTGCCAACAGTATTCAGATTTGCTTGTACAGTGGGCATTCATGCGGACTTTTGGCCAAAAATCGAAAGGGCGCGTTTTCCCAGACTCCAAGAGGGCCGAATACACTTTGATAGATGGCCTATTGAATAGCGAAAGAATTTTTATTCTAGGTGCTAAGGTACGCGAGAAAACACTTAGCTAAAAATAGACCTGCACACAGTGGGATTATTTTGATGATAAACAGGGATGATAATTTTATATCACTGTCTGAAATCTAAATTTAATCTCAATCCGAACGTCAATTAGAATATGAAACTATAACTGTCCGACTATCGACTACTAAAAAAGGTTTTTGGTTTTTCGACATAAACTGACTATCGAGACAACAAAATTTAGTTTCCACGCTAACAACATTTTCACAGTGATGTAGTCAGTATAATGCCAAGTTCCGCCGTGCTTTAACCTGACTCAAATTTTGTCAAAATGTTCTTCTGCCTATCTCACATCTATACAATTAGTATAAATTAGCATAAATATTCCTGGGCTTCGCTGTAGGTTTTCCCCAAACCCTGTTGTTTCAGGTACAAACTATTTTTCTCAGACCAGAAGCACTTTTTAGAAAACTATCTTTTCCTATGGACCAACAAGACCGAAAAAAGGGATTTTTTCTGAAAACGCTTATTTTTTCTTGAAAAGCATCAGAGATGATTAAGCAATGATAATTATTAATGAAAAAATAATTTATGAGCAAAGAATTCGGAATTTCTACTATTAGAAAAATACCCACTGTGTTAGAAGACCACGTATTTTATCATACTCCTAATCTCGAGAAATCATTAGAGATGTGAGGCCGGTATTAACACTGTTATTCAGTAATGGACAATTGTTTAGCATGCCCGGTGTACTGAATTCTTTAATTCATCTATCCTTCATTAATACTCACTATTTCTCATGTAAGGTTTATATCAGAACTAGTGCTGAAAGAAAAAAATGCAATTGTAATTCTATGCTTATAGAGAATATAAAAAATTCCTAAAACTACTAAATTTATACTTATTACATTTGAAAATCTGTCGTTATTAGCAAGTTTCTGCTATTTACAAGATGGTATGGCTGGAACCAAAACAAAGCACAAAATGAACTTATACTTTCTTATGAACATAGAACCGTGATTGTATTTTCTTACTCTAAGAATAGTTCCGATATGAACTTTACACAATAAATTGTGAGCATTAGTAAATGTTAGATGAAACCTACATATCAAGTACAGTGGAGATATCAAACTGTTACATCTGACGGTAATTCATGATGGTATCGTATCATTCCTATTAATTATGAATGTCTAAAAAATTAAAGCGCTAGTTTAGCAGTCATTAATGTTAAATCCATCGTATAATTTTCTACTAAAAACAATAAATGTTAAACACAATATTATCCATAAAAATATCTCAGAAAGCCGACCAATCATTAATTATAACAAAAAAGTTTAGGTGCAAAAAAGCAAAATTGGTCCCCTGAGAGAAGATGGTATTATAACTATGACCTGAGTGAACAATTTTTTTTAAAATTTCCATTGTTCGGAGAACACAAGCATTGAGAAAGTACAAAAAAGTTATCTATTAGACGCATACACAAAGTATTTACGTTAAATCGTATAATAAAAGAAAAGAAATCATTCGAGAATCGAGTTAATTTCATTAATGATAAATGGATTGTGATAACAAGAACAAGTTGAAATGCTCAAAAAAATGGTAAAGAAAATGACTCCATTCAAAATCCAAATGTCCTTCATGGTAATCATAGAAACAGCGATACTAAGGACTCTATGGTTAGTCGAAAAAGAATTAGCTGCTACTTTTTTTTCCATTAACAACAAACAGAATAGAAAAATTTCTGTATTTATAGATTGTTTTCTACTTCGAAAAAAAAATACGACGTCGTATTAACATTTTTTTATCGTCTTTACTTAACGGCAGTGTAAATAAACAAAAAACATCTAACATAATTGAAAAAGAAATATCAGCCAACACATTCAACTGAAAATTAATTCATCAATAACATACAAAACAAAAATACAATGAAAATAAAAACATTTACAAACCTATCAGAACAAAAGAATAGGATAGAAAATAATTTCAATAAGTTTTGAGTTAAAAAAATATAAAAACATCACTGTTGATCATAAATGGACTTACACTGTTTTTCATATAAAAATTCATTTGCACACGATAAAATGACTATCGATGTGACACTATAATTCTTTGTGCTGTTCTAAACTCAGAAATCAGTTAATTTTTAATGAGATTGCATTGAAATGGCAGTTGGAGTACCCAAAGTGACTAAATATGTTTTTCTTTGTTTTTTCGAATATTAACACGCACAGAATAAATAATATACATGGAATATATACAAAATGATAACTGATATTATATTTAGCCATTGGTTCGAGGCCAGGCATCGAATGCAAATAATAAACCGATAATCAGAGCAACTCCACATAATATAGATACAATACAAAGTATTAGTGCTCGTTTATTTAATTTATGAGATTCTGGAACAAAACCATCGTGAAATTTATTTTGAGCTTTTCGAGCAAATGCAAATGCAAACAGTCCTAAAATCAAAAATAATACAGCGCAAAAATAGTTGGTAAGACAATTAATGATAATAAACAGATTTTTAAAACAATTTTAGCCAACGAAACATCAAAACCATCTATTCATTCATTAAGATTAGGGATTCACACACTACTACTTTTTCACGTGAAGTAAATTGATTTCAAAAAATTGATGATAGAATATTAGACTAATTTTTTTATCGAACGTAGACACCATTAAACAGTAGATTAGATGCCATCGGAAAACATGTTCAACTATTAATAAGAAAATTTTACCTGTTGGAAAAAATAATATGACACATAAAATAGCTAACCATCTCCAATCGCTAGGTCTTCGAGGTGCTTGAGGATCGAATTTTTGTCGCCTTGTTACTAATGTAGCTGAACTTTTAGATGAGCCTCTACCATTTGATCCTTGTGTTTTTAACGTAGATTGACTAGCATACAAAGGATTTGTTGGACGTACTTGAGGATAGGCTAAATAAAATTAAAAAGCACATAACAATAAGTTGTATTAACTCTTCTCAACTATCGTTTTACCCAACATACCGCTGTATCTTGATTGTCGACTAGGTACAGAACCTGCAGATGTTGACTCAACATCATATCCATTCCCATGGTAATTGTTTGTCCTTGCACCACCACCACCACCACGTAAATCTATAGTAATATCATTAAAAGTATCACCATTTTGATTACGCATCTGAAATGAAAAAAGAGAAAGAATGTTTCAAACACTTTCAACTATACTTGTCTTAAGATATGTCGGACTTATACAACAAACAAAGTAGTTGATATCTAGCATTAATTTTACTGAACACATTTAAGAATAATAATATGCGTAGTCTGAACTATTCAAAAGAAAAAATTTTAGAAAAAAAATATTTTACTATTTGAGTTAGCATCTTATTTTATTGCCGTGCGACTAATGAAGCTAAACTTTTGAACAAGTCTTTTGCCGTTCAATGTTTGTATTTTTAATGTAGGTTGGCTTAAGAGAGTAGTATAGTACTATAGTAGTATTCTTGCAGTTCCACTGTGAATTATTCTAACAATAAGTGTGTGTCAGATTTATTTGTTTGCTTACGCATTTCTCACTAAGGGTATTTATTACTGCTTGAGTAGCCATTACGTTCAAGGACTTTAAATTAACCTACCAGGACTATGTAATCGTTCATCACTTTCTTTCGTTTCAGTGATACGGTTATTTACAAAATACTAGGTTTACTCAAAGATATATTCTATTCATTGCTTCAAATATGCGAATTTCACATGAAATCAGTTCGTGTTTTTTAAAAGCAAATCGAATCGAAAAAACATCGGAAAAATTAAAATTACTTATAGTGACAAAGCTCCTCTTGAACATCTGATCCATTTTGTCTTCTTATTTTCTGAAATTAAAAAATTTAGCTCTCCAAATAATTTCTAGTAATAATTGAGGACACTCTTTTTAACATGCTTATTAATCAGATTTAAAAAAGTGAAAGAAAAAAGTCTTTTAGTTCTATAGTAGAAATCATATACAATATCAATCTGGAAGAAAAATTTTGTCCCTTTCACATATTTTGTATAATGCTTATAATTTTGCATCATTGTCTAATTGCAAATAATTGCCTAAGATTGGTTCAAAAACCGCATACATTTCTGAACACGATCAGAAAGCGATCATTCCTAACGCGGATGAAACTATAAAAATTAAGAGTATCATTGCGTTGAAATATAATATCTCAATTCTATTTTGTCTACGATTCTTATCATGTTCACAAATATATATTTTTCTTATATCCCAACTACAAGCGATAAGAATGGTATATTATATAAAAGTTATTTATATCGATCAAAATGTTCAGGAATAAAAAGGTCTATAAATCGATTTTCGATTAATTTATGTAGAGGAAGTTACTATTTGAATAGAAGTTTGGATATAGAAGTTTATCGACCAATATTACAATTATTACGTTACCACTACATAACTTTATTAGATAATAATTGCAAAAAGATGAGATGATTATAAACCTAAAGCATGATTGTTCTGTTTGTTTTCTGGTGTTATTAAAATATAAACACTTTAAAAAACGTATGAAAAAACAAATTCTCTCTTCCAGATTGACACCGCATATTATTTCTACTATAAGAAATAAATGACCTTTTCCGTTCCAAACTGAAGCCACTTTTTAAATTTAATTAATAAATATGTTAGAAATGTGTTCTCAATCATGGAGGAATCTTTCATACTGTTTCAAAAGTCAGAAAAAAGCAGATGAGTAATACCGGATTCTCAAAATTTGTTGAAATTTTAAAGTACTAGTCGACAATGTTGAAGACGATACAGTCTCAAGGAATCGAGTACGATGAAAAAAATTTCTCAAATCGAACTAAATCCAATTTTCGATGTAAATAACTAAAAGTCCTAACTACTAAAAACTGTTCACCTAATGTTGCGTCTTTTACCTGCGTTAGTAAAATAGAGCACGAATCTATTTCTATAAAAAACAAAAAAAGAGGGTCTATGTTTGTAGCACATTATTTTTTATTCTGGTTCGTAATAATTCATTTTTTTTTTCGTTTTTTTCTTCTAAAGGCTCAAGAATTCTATTTATTACTCTTATTTGTGCGTATAAAGTATATGTCAATAAAAATGTAAAAAAAGAAACACGAAAAAGCAAGAAAAATAATATAGCAAAGAAAATCTAACTGCAGTACAAAATAAATTTTATTATAACCTTCATCGCTTCATTTTCGAAAAAAACTTGTTATATATAGACCTCTTTTCTTCTATTTTTTTATTTCACTTATAATGTATATCAAAAAGTATTTGTCATTTTTATATATGAGGAGCGAGAATAAGTAAAAAAAAGTTGTGTAAGCATACGTCGCCACCAAATGTGTTTCAATGTCACCGCTTTTTTTTTTACCGATAGAAAAGCTGAGTTCTTCTCTATGTATATTAAAAAACGGCAACAGTTAGAAAACGAACAAAGAAAAAAAAGTATAAGAGCAAGAAAGAAAAGATAGAGACGGATCCAACGAGAAATGGAAACAAAAAAAGTACTCCTTTTAAGAATTTTGAAGGTCATCAAAAACACATGTAATGTCAAATATGAAAGGACAAAGAATAATAGGTCTTCTATAATTAACAACTTCATGTTCCTTTTTCTATGTAATAAATTTACGCTTCAACAATTTACATTATTTATTTTCTGCTTATATAAACGTACAGGTTGTATGTGGAAAAATGGAACAAATTTATGGTATCCATAGAAAAAGAATGACACATCACATTGAAATTGAACGTTTAGTTTAGATTAGAGCAGGATATTCAAGACTTATTAAACTGAAGAGTTTTGTAAACTGATAAAACGTGTGAAAAATCCATGTGACATGGTATTGATGTTAATAACAGAATAAATTTACAATTACACTCGATATTACTGATATTATCTACGATGACATTATTAGCGTAATATGGTTCATTTTGTCGTATAGATGATAAATTACATAATATTCTCTACGAAGAGGAACTTGAAAATGATCGGAACCAGTGGTAGATAAAGAAAAATTTTTTTTTTGATGAGTATGATTGGCTTAAAAAATTATCAAAAATTTCTTTCTCTAGCAAAAAACACAATCTTTTCTTCGTCAGTGGATACAACCATACATGCCCTGAATATGGTACAACGCTATATGCATTATTTCTGTACCTGAAATATCTATGAGTCAAAACTTCAGGCTTGTATTGCACATTAATGAAACAAAATATTCTTTTCTGGTGTACTGGCACGTGTACAAACTGAAGAACAAAACCACAAGATAGAATACAAAATCCGAATTGACATTCGTTTTCACGGCATCTTACTTCATTCGAATATACCTGTACAAAACCCTAATACTGTTAGCTGTTCATTACTCCAACTATCATAAAAATAAAAACAACATAAAGCTACAGTGCAAAGAAAGTTTGAGTTGATATTTGAAACTATTATCCATTAAAAAATATAATGCAGAAAACTCTTTTCAAAATAACGTTTGATACACAAACAATGAAGAGATGCGGTTTATAGAAGATACTGTCTGCAGGTGGTGTACCTGATGAATCTTCCGTAGGCAACGCTGCCGTTTCCTGGGTTTCCATAGCAACCTATAGTTTTAACATGTGCAGAACATACACTGACATCTATGCTCCACATCCACGCAAATCCGAGACCTCCATCTACCACCTTTCGAGCGAAAAAAAAATTCATAATTCACTCGAAGTCGATCCAGACTACTTCAGAATATCAAGACATACTCTGTTATATCTCCTCCTCATACACAAAAATCAATAGGAAAAAAAGGTCGAAAATACGGGTTCATTTTCAAGTAGAAAAACCGGTCAAAATCGACGGTTTGCGACACAATAACCGTTTTCTCGTATAAAAAACCGCGGGTGTGTTTTTGATACTATTTTTGCATCGTTGGGGTATAGCAGCGATTCACGGCGGTTATATTTTGGTGAAAACCGCAGAGATCTACCTGTTTGCTGAGTTGGCTAGAATCGTCTTTTTCGTACCCACAGATGAAGGCGATTGCTTTTTGTATAAAACTGCGGTTCACAGGGGTTGGAAGAAAAGATATTCGCCTAGACCAGTGGTTATTTTACTGTCATTTTCAGTAATTTTTATTTGGTTATTTCTGTAATTTTTCAAGACAGTGAATCCTCCAAAGAATTCAAGATCTCAACTGGCGTTTTGCAAAGAGACGTTCTAGCACCATCTCTATTCATAATTGTCATGGATTATGTAATGCGAGAAGCAGAAGGAGCTTTTGGATTTGTCACCATCTACGACAGTCCAGCAGAATGCCGGAACAGCGCCTCAACGACCTCGCCTACGCCGATGCCATCACCCTACTAGAAGGAAGTCTCGTTCGAGCCCAACAACAACTCGACAGAACAAACAACAGCGCACTCAAAGCAGGTCTCGAAATAAATATCGGTAAAACAAAATGAATGGAACTCAACATCTCAAATGCAGCATAAGGTACAGTCACGCTAAACGGTGAACCAATCGAACTGGTAGCCGACTTTAAGTATCTTGGCTCGATGATGGCATCGTCTGAAAAAGACATGAAGCACCGCAAATCACTCGCATGGGTAGCATTCTGGAAGATGGAAACCATCTGGAGAGTAAAGAAAACCCCGGTCTCTCTCAAAATCCGTTTCTTCGAGGCTGTTTGCATCTCGATTCTGTTGTACGGAAGCGAAACATGGGTTCTCACACAGCAGCAAAGAAAAGAAATCGACAGCTTTGCCACCAACTGCTACAGAATCATGTTAAGCATAAAATAAATCGAGCATGTGTCAAACAAGATACTGTACAATCGCGTCAATCAGCTCCCATTATCCATCAAAATGACCAAAAGACAGTTAACATGGGTTCGTCACATGCTCAGACGCGACAAAGAAAAGCCAATTCGAAAATACGCTCTGTACCAACCAAGTAAACAGCTAGGAAAGCCAAAGCTAGGGCGACCAAAACTGAACTTCGTTAAAAGTATCGCCCAACTGAGATGCAGCACATATTTGATGACAGAAGCTGAGATAGAGAAGGCTGCGCAAAATCGCGAAGAGTGGAGAAAGCTAGTGATCGACTGACTGCACACGCTATGACGCCCTTGCAGTTGGCTGATGATGATACAAGACTTGTGATTTACTTATCAAGTACTTAGGCAAGTATTTTACAGGTAACTCAAAGTACTTATAAGTAAAATTACTTGTAAGTGAAACACCGGGGACTGGCTTCATTATTTGTACCAAGCACTCGGCTTCAAGTGCATCCGCTATATACTAGAGCAGGTAACGAAACGGTCTCAGCCTACAGCTAGATTATCAGTTAACTTTTCACTGGACAGTATAAACACCATGTTTGTTAGTTACTGCACTCTTCGATTTCAAATAAATAAATGGACGATCACTAACGATGCCGCTTGCACCTTTCGCGGTCTTGAAGAAAATCTATGGAAATTACAGCGTCTGAACTTAATGAGTCAAGAGCGTTGTTTATCACCCGTTCGTTAATCGTTTAACTGTAGGACCTATTTCTAACCGTTATCCTCATTTTATTGAGACTTTTATTACAGACATGTAAGTAGATTAAACATTTCTCTATAAAAACGAAAAGTGTCTGATGGTGTTTCATAAAAATTCTTAAGTGCTCGACTTAACTAAGTCTAGACTAGTTAAGTAAGTCATACTTAAGTCTTGGTTTTGTACACTTACGTGTTAATTTTATACACTTAAGTCTAGACTTAGTTGAGTCGAGCGCTTTTTTTTTGAATTTTTATGAAACACCCTCTTGGGATCTGAAAGTTAATTCGTTATAAGAATACAGCTGTTGTACAAATAACCCAAAAGATCGATTTGGGGGCTATATGAAAGACCTGTCTAAAAGAGTGAAGACGAGCTGGCGAAAATAACAAGTATACCACTGTGTAGAAAATTGTTAGCTTTATAAGATGTAGCAGCTGTTCAAGTTCGAAACTATGCAGATTAATTAGAATAGTTTCGAACTCGAACAGCTACCACAAGAGTGAAAAAAGGAGACCGTTAGCTGGACAATCCTTATAACTGTATATGTTAAAAAAGACTAATAGCCAATTGAATGTTACAAACTTTATATCAAACTACATCTGGTCATTGTTCAGTATGCGCATCTTGCGCTTACACGAAACTGACAATCAGTTGTGGCATTCGTTGCATGGAAACTAATTTTGTGCCTATATTCCGATTTTTAGTTTTTCTGTTTGTATTCTGGTGTAGTCCGTCTATTCCCAGAAGATGTGTATACTGAACATATTGTTTTGAGATCTCTTGAAGATGGCGCTTAATCTTAAACTAGTTAAACTTTGCTCTTATCTTAGCTATTTTTTTTCTTATTGCACTGCTTATCTTTTACTATATTTCTTGTGAGTTACTTATTATTTTTTGAAACTGATTGTTAATTTCCGTAAATTAGGTTTATTTGAGAGTTTTTGTTTTGTCTTCCGTAGTGAATGTACTTGCATGCAGGTACTTGATCAGGTACCCTCACAAGTTTGGTCCAACGTTCTTAGGCTTTTTTGCAAGTAAATCAAGTACTTGAAGTACTTTAACTTCTTGTCAAGTCCTTTGCCAAACACTTTTCCTAGTAACCCCCAAGTACCTGTGGGAGGCTCAACAAGTGAATCAAGTGCTTGGTGAATACTTTCAGGCATTTATCACGTAGTATTTTTTGAATATACTTGTCAAGTGCTTGGCAAGTACCCATGGAAATGTGCAAGTAAACAAGTACCCACTCGTAAGTACATTCACTAGGGTTTTTCCATTCGACTGAGAACAAAATTTTCCATTACGTATTATTAATTCAGTTGTTGTTAGTTAAACTTAATCACATATACACTCACGATTTCATAAAATTTCTTTTGTTTTAAGAATCATGTGCCGATTTTCGCATACCTTGAACATTCTAGTATGCTGAATCAAAACTTTATAGTAATCTCTAGTCGTTTCCTGAAAGCTTACAGACGTTCTATCTGGAACACCATGCATTTCAATATATTTACTCCTCTCCTTCCGTATGGGTAAGAAGAATCAATCAAAACTACTCTACTCCTTTTTTTATATATCTGGAAACTAACACAAAATTTCAAGGAATTTTTATATCAGCGTGTACACAACAGTCAGCTCTACCAACCTCGTTGTACGGAATATTTCCAGCTAAAGATCAATGAGAAACGGTAAAGTTACGTATAGAATTTCGAGGGCTAGCTCGTTTCAGCTCATAGTACTTCTGTTAGTGTTGATAAAAGTTTGACAGGTGAATGAATCTTGAGAAATAGTTTTGACCAGACTTGCTGAAATTTCAGGTAGCCATAGTAAGTAAGATTCTTGATTAAAATCAATAAAAATTTCCGTCGGTAAAAAATTTTAATATTGAATTCGGATATAATGTTGGTTTCAACTGTTTATGAAATTTTGATTAGTTTTATGCAGGCTTAATAACTTAAAACTGCTTTATTTTTTTTTCTTTCACACTTGGTTGACCACTATAACTTTTTAGTTAAATTTACTACAATGGCATTTTGCTAAAAAAAATTTTCTTTTAAAAGTGAAACTTTAAATAAGTTTACTTGTAAAACTCGTGTGAAAGATCTTTGTTTGCTTACAAATGTTTTTATTACCCATCATATTTACTACTACTAAAAGAATCTGAAATACCATTTATCGAAGATAGTAATTTTAAGTACAAAGACAAGTTCATAGATGATAATTGTTTTACAGTCTTCTGTTTTACGACAAAGCAACTTATATGTTTGTCTTATCGCAGCAGAAAAAAATATTGACTCAACAAGTTTAAGTCTTGCAGCCGATTTCTGAAACAGGTGACTGACGATCGCAAAGTGTTAACTGTATTAGTGGTAATTGTCTGCCTCGTTATATTTAAATAGAAACAAATATCTTTAACAACAAAGAACGTAAAACAAGTACGTATCATATCACATTTTATTATAAAAATATGCTCAGATTGAAAGAGCTTTTTTTTTACTTAATCTTAAATAATTGAATAAAAATACTCTGATTTATGAATATCGTTCACCAGTAAGCATTCAGTCGATCAACAGCAAGTTTGACAAAATTTGTGTGAGAAGCGTAAAGTTTCACATGACGATCAACAGGAGTCCAAGCAACTTTTGTTGCATCGTCTCCTAAATCAAAATAAAATATGAAATTTGTAAAAATATAAAATATTCAAAGTATCAGATAAAGCGTGAAAATTAATCTACATGCACACCTGCTGTTAACGTTAAATTTTTGGTTAGTTTTCCTGTTTCATCATGAAAGTGCCAAGCAGTTGATTCCATCCATGCGTTATCAGTATTTCTCGGATCATCCACATAACCTTTTGAAATCTAAAACACAAAATAAACGAGCAAGCAATGTTTAAGTAGCTAATATACAAGTATACTAGTCTTCTTTATATGTAGCTTACCTCTTCTCCGTTCTCAAATAACTTTTCAATACTATCGCAAGACGTTTTTAAAGAATTACTTGTCCCTAATGAATTCATTGCTTCTTCTTTAAATTCTCTAATTAGAGTACTAAATGCCTTTTCGCCTGGATCAACCATTCCCTAGAAAAAAAAGTGAAATTTTGTATACACTTTATCAGAAAATGTTTAGTTTTAAACTTACACCAGGCAAAGCGAACTCTTTGTTATCCTTTCTTTGAATAGCGACTATTTCTAATACTTTTTTCAACCCTCCATTTTCATCTTTTCTCCATATACTTTCACCATTTGAATCTCGAAGCCATCTAAATATACAAAATTTTCTTTGTATCTTAAACACAAGTTCTTTAAATCAATTTTTACACTCTATACCTTGTCACCACCGGATCCCCCGCATGATTTGGGCCCCAGTAATAGAGTCGGCCTCTCCCAGTCACTAAAAATAATATAAATAAATTTGAAAACGTACTCTCAGTGTAAAGGAAATGGTTGCTAAATCTACTTACAACCTGTTCGACCCATTGGATTTTTTGGACGTTGTTTCTCATCAAGTTGATAAATTCCAGTGAAACTTGTTCGATCTACCTTTCCTTCCAAACAGTTAAAGTTTTTGATTTTGGTCACATCTGCTGGATCTGCTTTTTTATTTTTCAATATCTTTTCGGTAGTATATTCAGTTGGAAAATATTCAGGCCACCGAACATTCCAGGCAACTTTGTCGTCCGTCACAGGATATCGCTAAAAGAAATAAATTAGTCTAGAGAAACAAAATAGCACCAAATAAGTAAGACTAAATTGCTTGTTGACTCTTAAAAAAGTAAATTATTTTACTGTTGCTATTTCGTCATAATTTTTCGCTCGACATTTGTAATGTACAGATCGTGGTAATTTTGAACATCTATTTCCATTCACATAGTTATTAGATGAATTAGTTAATTTCTGAAGTGACGAAAGAAAGAAAGAAAGAAAAGTTATTGATAATCAAAATAACAAGAACTATATACTTACATAATCAGACGTACGATATTTTGAATATTGATGAACATCATTTTTCGGTTGTTGAATATAAGAGAAGTGCAACTGAGTGTTGCTAAAGTTTGGTTTCTAGAAAAGAAGATTTATCAAATATATGGTCGAGCCGCTTACACAGTAAAAACGTATACTCGTGCAATTTAACATTTATACATTTTATTAAGTTTTCCTGAACGTCGTGTTTAAATATTTCAATTTCATTTTAAAATTTGTTCAGGTCCTTTCAGAACTGAACAAAATTTAAAGTTGATATAAGAATCTTTGCATGCACTCTGGCTTACACATTTTCATGGTAGAAATTTATGAGTCATTAAAAGACAAAAAGATAGTGGAAAGTGACGTCAATAGTACTTATAAATACTATGAGAAAAACCGAAATCGTACATTTATCTGCTGATATTCGGCGTTTCGAAACCGAGAATATTCTTGGAAAGTCTTTTCAGTCATTGTTTTTCGATAATATTCAAAATTTGTTTTCAGACTGGTATTCACTCGAATTTGCTGCAAGTAGATAAAATAAGGATATCAATACTATACCGAAGAGAAGAAGCTTACTTCGTTCTTCTGATAATTAGCATTTCGATATCTAAAATAGTTTTGTATTTGTTTACGTTGACCATTTTGTTCATTGACTAACCGAATGTCATAAACAACGTAACTTGGTTCACGAAGTAAATCGACACCTAGAATAAAACATGACGTTTCGATTGATCAGACGATTTTGTACACATATCATTTAAAAATTGGGAAAGAAAAACTAAAAATTTTATTACTCCTAGTGGAATATGAAAATCCTACTAAAAAATTGGACAATTGAAAATAGCGTAAGAATTATATTGCATCCTATCTAATTTCTCGATTCGGTTTGTCCACGTGACTCGGTGCTTCGCTGATCAAGTTTTTGAAAAAATTATTTTGGAATAGAACTGAAACAAGCACATCACTAGATGTAGTTTTTGATGCTAATTACGAATCTTATATTATTTTTTTTTAAAAGTTAAATTTTGGCGGCGGAAATCCAGTTTTACGTTTTTGATAACTGTATTTTCAATTTCCTCACGTAGACACTTTTCCTAAAAAAATTAAAGACTGGACTAGTCGATAGAGAATTCGATTCTCTACAAGATGGGATATTTCATTTGAAGTTTAGACTCAAAACAAGCTTTTTAATAAAGTTTTAAGTTTTGAGATTCTCTGACAATTCCAAGGGAGTGAAAACATTTTTTCGACTTTATTTTCATGTTAGTCTATAGCAGATGCCTAGAAATACGACCGATGTGAAAAGAAAATCTTTTGAGCAATGTTTAGTGCTCCAAAACTTGTTGGGAGAAACGTGTGTCACAGCATCAAGATGATAAAACACAATTATTAAGGGATGGAAAGCTCATCGAAAATCATTCTTTTTTGCAATCACTAGCTCGTTTCCTCCTCTACAAACTTTTCTTCAGACACTTTTTATTAGCTCTTCTAAATTCTGAGCAAATTAGCTTTTACTGAGAAGAACTTCGAATTTCGGGCCTTTTTTTGCCACAGCGTCACGCACCGAAAAATGGTTCTAAAAATTCGAGTCTTTAACCAAATACCTTCGTTTTTATATCGAAAGTAGAGTATGGCGAGCTGCGTCGAATGACGTAAGAATGAAGTTTCTGGCTCATACAGTTTTTGAGAAAAGCTCAATTTACTGTGTCAAAAATGTCACAGCGTCACGCTTGGACAAACCGTATTGTCTTATTGTAGAATCCCTACACTATTTGCAAGTGTCCGATTGCCTACCATCATCTATATGATCCTATGGTCGTTCATGGGTTTTATATAACATCTTACCTTATAGAGAGTTGACAGATCGAATTTGCTAAGACGCTGTTAAAGTATTTTCAATACTCTTATCTTTTCGATGAAAATGCTTGTTATTTTTCTTAGAATGAAATACCAACAGATTTACTTCTACACTGAAAATTCTCTTTACAGTTTTATATTAGAAATAAGAAACTCTACACAACATTCAACGAGAAATAAAATTTTACATAGAGATCGATTGTCACTTGCATTTCTGCTTTTCTCTCATATTATTTTGAATTCTTTTCTGGATTCTTTTTCTTTTAAAGCAGAACAAAATTTTCTTATTAACCGTCATTATTGACTCTTCAACATATTCTATTCTAAACGTAATATGTGCGAGGAAAATTATTTATAACACATTGAAGAGTAATAATATGTTTATTCATTATTTTTGAGAGAATTTACAAATGCACCATTTGGTACCTTCTTTTGTTTTTTCGACATTTTTCTAATTTTATTGTAATAGAACAATTAATTATTAGTGGTGTACGATAAGATATAAAACTAGATGCCAACTACCCTGCAGGCAGATTGGAAAGCCAAGCGAGTGAAACGTCGTTTAGAAGTATTTTAGACACCATTTTAAAGCCATTAGACCTTCGCAGAATTCGTGAGAGCTGTTTTTCCTCGTCTTCGGAAGCTCTTCCTATCAACTGTTCAGTATCACGTGACCATTAATTATCTCATAGAGAAAACAGCGAAGTTCTATAAAACATATGCTCATTTTGTGGCACTAATCAGAAAGAAATGTTTTTTACGTTCGATGTATACATCGAAAAAGTGACTTCAGATGTGTCATCTACAGCTGCTGTACTTCTCAATCATCTTTTGCCCAAATCTGTACGATCAGAGGTAGCTGAGAACTAGTGATGGACTTAAAGCAGAACGTCTGTCCAGAAGAGAGAAGATATATTGATATAATGGGGCTTTGCTCTCGTTCTACTTGTCGACGTATGTTGCTAAGTGCTTGGAATTTTAATAAAAAAAACTTAGAAAGAAAAAGAAAGAAAAAAGAAAAATTGTTTGTAGTGAATAAGAATAAGACTCCGGCGAGTTTCACCCGGTCGGCTTAAAGGAGAATTTTTTACGGTCAAACAGAATAAAGGGCTGAACATATTACAAGACCCGAGTGTCCGGACGAACGAAGATTTTAGAGGGTGGACCCTCGCAACTATTGAAAACGATTAACGACAGAACAATTTCAGGTAATAAATTGCTTTTTCTCTGAGAACTATATGATTATAGGTAATCGATGGTGCTGATTCCGAGTATCGTAGTGGGAGCTGCTCTTAGAGCTTCAGAGATCTTCTTTTCTGGAAAACCAATTTTCCACCAGGAAAATGTTTTTTACCCAAATGGTTTTCTGATCTATCTGGGTTGTAAAGCATGTCGAATTACCTATGTAGATAAGTTTTTACACCTATCGAATATTTCTTGACAGCGCTATTGTTATCGAAGAAAAGTGAATGCAGACTAAAAAACTTAACTGAGCTGTCAAGAAATATTCGATAGGTGTAGAAACTTATCTGTATAGGTAATTCGACATGCTTTACAACCAGAAAGCCATTTGGATGAAAAACATTTTTCTGCTGAAAAATCGGTTTTCTAGAAAAGAAGATCTCTGAAGCTCTAAGCGCAGCTTCCACTATGATATTCGGAATCAGCACCATCGATTACCTATAGCCGTATGGTTCTCAGAGAAAAAGCAATTTATCACCTGAAAATGTTCTCTTGCAAGTTCAGGTTTCCAGCCCCAGTTGCAGCAGTTTATAGAAAATACGTGCTAGTGTATGCTAAACATGTAGGCCTGTGTTTTTTCAGTTTTTGGGGTACTTCCCTAGTTTTTAAATTTAACGTAAGCTTTCGTTTTTCACGATGAAACTATGAGTCCTGGATACCTAAAATTACACAGATAACAAATGCTGATGTTCCCAGTATCAGATCTAAACGTGTGAGAATTTCATTAATTTAGTGTATAGGAAGTATTTTAATAAAAACTATAGGATGAAACCTGTTTGAAATATTTCTGAGGAATGTGTAAGCGGGTTGTCCGAACAATTTTTGAATAAAAAATGCGATTTTTTTAGCTTTTTCGCGTTTGAAATTTGACTTAAAAGCATAGTTTTAAAAAAACTCCATCAACACAAAGATCCTTAAGAATCACATGCTGTACAAGTAACAAGTGATAACGACAACCTGTAAAAAAATCGGATCTTTTGTTAGAGGAGTCTTGTAATATGATTTTTGCATCTTTTTTATGCAGGATCTTCTAATATAGCCAGCCCTTTAAACCTCCTCTCATTTCACTCGGTCCACTTAATTAACTTGTATTTGATTGTGTAGACTACAAATTGAGTGAGAAAAGAAAAATGATAGTAAAAAATACGTTTCTCCTCTCAAAGCGTTGTCTTCGCCGTAGGTAAATAGAAAAAGCTGTTCTTTTTTCTTAACATACTCGCTTTTTTCTTCATGTAGGAAACGTTGTATGTGAGAGTAGTGTTGTATCTCAGTATATTAACGCAAGTACAGACAATAATAAAAAAATATTTTTTTTATTTTTCCTTTCTAAAATAGTTTATGATCACTAACAGCTACCTACCTCTATTTTCTCTCGTTCACATGATAACTCAAACACATTCAGATAGAGAAAGAAAAGGTACTTTTTTTTGTACAAAATTTGACGTGTTTCACACTGGAGTATTTAATATTTAAAGAATAAAATGAATTCCAAACTGAACTGTTCATGAAAAAGAAACAAACTTTTTCCTCTCAGCAGGAAAGTACTCATATTTAATCTTCATGTATATTGCAATGAGAGTGGGTCTATGCTTCTCACTATTTTTTTTGTGTCGACTGGATGTGCAGATAATTCAATATTAGCCTAGTTATAGTTATTACAACAATCTTGTACGGTGTTTTTTGAGTAATATGTCACATATTGTACATGCTGATTCGCATCTGTTCCACTGTTTGTTTTTACTCATACAGTTGTTCGTATGTCTCATATAGTGTTTACGTGTTTCAAGTTTGTCTTAACAAGAGACTGACGACATGTCCAAGGACAACTATCGAAAATGGTAGCAAAGAAAATAAAAGAAACAACGTTCAGGCAGTGCTTTAACTTTAACTATAAATTATGGTCAATTCCAGGTCGAAAATCCTGTCGAATGATCTTACGAGATTATATGCGTGATCTTATTCTAAAGATTCCCTACAAGCGGTTTTTGATAATTTCAGCATTTTCAGGACCCTTATGTTCTTACGATTCGTGCCAGACCACGTGCTTTAGAATCATGCACCTTCTTTCTGCTCAGCTGATGCGTAAAGTTAAAGAAAAAGGCGAAGTTTTGTCATAGAAATAATTTTGTGTATATATCGTTTACTGTATATCACAGCAAAATTCATGTGATAAGAACGACTCATCACTCTTGCAAGGTGAATTTCACCTGGGATGTCATAAACTCAAGCAAAAGACTTTTGTTGTCCCAAAAAGGAGACATATAGAGTGACTAATAATTTCTCCAAGGATTTATTTGACATTTAATATGATTAACACATCATCTGATTGATGTCAACACTTATTTTCCTTTTTAAAGATATATAGCTTAAGTCAAGGAGAGAGAGCTGACCAGCTGATATTTGATTTGTATGCAAGGGAGCCCAAAAGTCATTGATAACATTTTGATAGAAAGAAAAAAAATAGATATGATTTGGTATTTTTATAAGGATTATTAATATACACTGTCAATGGTGATCGGGTACATCATGTTTGTACATAGATCAATGATGACAATTATTTTATCATTTCAGAGATTTATATAAGATAGATAAACAGCAAAATTGTTAATCGAGCAAATATGAGCGTCGGTTGATTATGAAAAATGCCATTAAGAAATAAAAAATTTAATAGATTAATGTAACACCTATGACTGATTACATGTCACTGTGGACAAGTGGTGATTATATTTATTTGATTACTATTAAGACAATGTTGTATCATACTTTCAAATATATTTTGATAATGAAAGTTCGATAAGAATCACAGAGAAAAATGAGGAATACATTTAATATTTTTCTTTCTGTTCCAAGTATGTCTCGAAATTAATTTGATGTGTTTACTTCTTTCAAGCTCATTATGTTATGATTATAGAAATTACGTTAGAATAACAGCCATCAGCAGTATTAAAATTGGCCTTTTTTTGTTTCGAAGGAATTTAATAAGCAACTACCAATATTGTAAACATAAGTCTAAAGGTTATACAAGAGAAGAAGATAACCTCCCGACAGGCAAAAAAATGTGCATCATAAATGAATACAGAGAGAGAGTGAGAGATTAGGGTCATATACTTCTCTTTAACGTACAGAGAAAAAAGTTAAAATATTTCAATATCCGATTATCTTTTCTCTTATCTGCTGTAATATGCTAATCAGAGAAAATCTTTTTGCAATATTTTCAGTTCGTCAACGGTTATAAGAGGAAGGTAAATTAAATGTTTGTATAACTGAGTAGTTAACAAAAATAAAAGTTATTGGATCTTAAAAACGGACAGTAAAAAGTTCATATACTGAATGTTATACTAATTGTTTACATAAACAGATGTAATTAATTTTATCAGGTCTATAATTTGCACTTAAAACTTTTGTTTTAAATTAGTTAGTTCCATCTTAATTGAAACTGACATCGTGTACTTTGCCATTCCTTTGACATTTCCATTGGCAATTAGATATACACAGTTGTAGTTTGCATGTTCAACGTAATGAAACAACATAAAGTTCAGTTAATGTCGAAATAACATCAACAGTTTTATATATTAACGGACTAAGTATATTGTCTAGAAAAAATAAATCTGTTTTTCATCACAAATGTTTTCTTTCTTGAATAGTTTATATAAAAGTGGACTCATCTTACTCGAATGTTCATTAGCAAAAAATTCGATTATGTTTGTTTCATAGAAAAGGCTGGCAAATTATCTTCTCTAAATAAATATTTACTAAATTTTTTCTTGAATTGTTTTGGATCTTTTATTTTTGTTTAAAAGTATTTGATGGTACGCAACGTCGTTTTAAAAATAGAAATATTTGACTAAATGTGTATTCAATTCTTCCAAAAAGTAAACAACAGCAATTAGAATCTTTAAATCGACAAATGTTTAAGATTATCCATATATAATATGATTAACGAAGAGATTAAAAACTTGCCTAGATATAAATCGACAGATATTCTAACGCACATTGAACAAAACATCTACCAACTATTCGTTTAACTAATCCTGATATGATTTTCGATTTTCTTCAACATAAAATGTATCTTCTATAACTATATAAATACTATAAAAAATTCATTGTTGTTAAAAGGTAAACGTCACATTTATAATAAAGGAATAATAAGTAAAATTGCTAGAAAGCTCTTATATGATTAAAAACTTCTACTCTTCGATTTTGTATTATGTTTTTAACTTAATTTTTCTGTCTCCTTTATTTTCTTTTGATGATTATCTGTTTTAGTTTTTGATATGTTTTGATAGTTTCTGATATGTTTATTGTTCGAATCCTCTGTACATGTTATCAGCTATCTTTTCATTAATTAATTATTTAATTACAAGAGTGGTTGTTATCTGATGAATATCGCCATATGTTATGTTTTTCCATATAGTTTTGTTTTTTGGCTACAAAGACAAAGTTCGTCCATCACCTATGTAAGAGAGTCAAAAAAATTCTTGTTTTACATTTTTGTTGTTGAAAAATTAATCTTCCTCCTTCTACTACTTTAAACAGAGGAAGAGAGAGAGAGAGAGAAATGAATCAGTAAATAAGAAAATAATTGT